TATTTTCCTGGGCTCCAAGATCACCGCAGACGGGGACTGCAGCCAAGAAATTAAAAGACACTTGCTCCTGGGCAGGAAAGCTATGGCAAATCTAGACAGCATACTAAAAAGCAGAGACATCACCCTGCCAACAAAAGTGTGTATAGTCAAGGCTATGGTTTTCCCAGTTGCAATGTATGGCTGTGAAAGCTGGACCATAAGGAAGGCTGAGTGCCAAAGGATTGAGGCCTTTGAATTGCGGTGCTGGAGGAGACTCCTGCGAGTCTCTTGGACCACAAGGCGATCAAACCGGTCGGTCTTAGAGGAGATCAGCCCTAACTGCTCTTTAGAAGGCCAGATACTGAAGATGAAACTCAAATACTTTGGCCGGCTAATTAGAAGGACTCCCTGGAGAAGAGCCTAATGTTGGGAACAAAAGAAAAAGGGGACGGCAGAGAATGAGGTGGCTAGAGGGAGTCACTGAAGCAGTCGGTGTGAGCTTAAGTGGACTCTGCGGGATTGTTGGGACAGGAAGGCCTGGAGGAATGTTGTCCATGGGGTTGTGATGGGTCGGACACAACTTCGCAACTAACAACAACATGACTTCCCTAATTGGACTTCATTTATTTTTAGAAATACAGCTATTTCTATATTTCTGTACACATTCTGACAGCCATGCTCTTTATGTATTTGTTTGTTTACATGTATTTATAGGCCTCCTATAATTGCAGAGGCCTTCCTAAGCAGCTTACAATGAATAAACATAACAACAGAGTAAAAACACTAAAAACCGATTAAAACACAATGAATTAAACATCTATAAAAACCAATTAAAAAGGGCCACAGCATACAGACTAAATGTTCTAAAAAATTCTAAAAAGATATACGTAGGACTAAATCCTAGATTGCCTCCCTCTGGTAGATTCCATGAGCAACTGCTTTAGGGCATAGTCATTTATGACACTGAGAATTTTAACCTATCAGAACTGGAACATGCATTTTTCTAGTCAATGTCCGGGTAAGAAGTACCCCATTATTACAGTACTGCTTTTCTTGGAGTCATCCCTGCTTTATTTCCCATCTAAAGATTACCTCTCCCTTGGGGTCTCTGGAAAACACTGCCAGCCACTTTCTCAGTTGAACAGGAAGACTCATCCAAAAACAGTAGATTTAACATCTAGCCTTTTGTTATTAGCTGAATTGCAAATGAATGAGGTTTCTGTTTTTGGGGGTGGGAATTCATTACATTGCTTGGATTTGGCTCCCAGCCTCCACTCCACTTTGTTATGACCCTGAGTCTGAATTCCATTGAGCGCCACATGCTACAATTAACAGCATCCTTCTCCCATACTACATGCATCAGTCTTTGTGCTGCTGTACCTGACGTGGAAGAAGCTTGTTCGCATGGCACTCATGAGGAATGGATCAGTAGCATGACCGATAATGTGGCACACCCCTTGGGAACCGTTTCCCTTTCACCTCCAAAGCACCAAATCTGGGTTCTGATGAAAACTGAGTGAAAAATGTATGAGAGATTCAGGGAAAAGTGCAGAATGGGAAACAGATGGGTCCGTTTCAGTGTGGTTTGTTGTGGCAAATGTCAGATAATTAGAAAATAAAGTCTAGCTAACAAAACCCTGTGTCAAACAGTTATCTACCACAGTTACCTTTGGTCTCCATGGTGAAGTTCTCCTTGTGCCTGTGGCAGGGGTTCCTTCTCATTCAGGGAAACTTAGCCTTAGCACATGTACTGGAGAGAACGCCTTGGTTCCATCTGTTTTGATGCCTGATTCTAGGAAAATCTCCTGTTTTTTGTCTGCTGACTGTTAGTAATCATTCCTCCCCAGTTCTGAGTTGGATTCTAGAAGAATCTTAATTGTTTAGGCCTTTGGGCAAATTGCTAGTCAATAGGTTTGAGCTGGAAGTGCTTGGCCTGCATAGCTGTGATCCTTCAGATGACCTGACTTTTAGCTTTAGCAGAGACCTGCAAGTCTCTGATTGCAAAATAGAGGTTTCTGTCCCTTGGAGCGGAGTAAGATAGAACCAGTATAGTCTGTCTGAGTGGACTATTCCTAGCCACTCCAGGTCAACCATAGCAGCCTTTTATCAGCTTGGGTTGATATATCAGCTGTGATCCAGGGTGGACAAAAATTGCCTGGGAACAGTTATCCATAATCTAGTAACCTCCTGTTTGGCTTCCTGCAATGCACTGTACATTAGCCTACCTTTGCAGATGATTCAGAAACTTCAGTCAGTTCAATTCAGAACTTTTAGGTCATTAGCTGGCCAATTCAACCATGTGGCGTCAGTGCTTTTTCAGCTGCAGTGGCTGCATTTCCAAACACCATTCAAATTGTTTCTGTTTTCCAATAGCTTGGAACCAGAGTATCTAAAGGTATGTCTCCTCTTGCATGTAACTTTTGAGCATCTTCAGGGGCTGTCCTTTTGGTGCTCCTGCCAAAAAACTAGTCAGGTGGCTACAAGAAAGAGGAACTTCTCAGTAGTGTCAGCACACTTAACAGAATAAACTTCCCAAAGAGGTACACCTGGCACCTACACTATCTTTTTGGCCCCAGACAAAGATTTTTTCATTGTTCCATGGCCTTTTAGAGTCCACATTCTAGGTTATAATGACTGTTTTATCATTTTTTGTGCTCTTTATTTTTGATATTGAATTTTAACTATTTTATATTTAAAATATTTGCATGTTTGCCTGTGTTTTATGTTGGCATTTTAGGCTTTACTTGATTGTAATACACCAGAGAATATTAGTTATTGGACAGATTAGAGTTGAACTAGATAGATGATTGACAGACAGACAGACAGATTTTATCAGAGTGTTCGGGTGATATTTTTCTGGCTATGTTGGAGGCAGTTTGAAAGGTATAGGTATGAATGCACAAGTAATACAAGTGTGCTTCCCTACATGGCAGCTGTTAAATAATACCACTCATAACTTTATTTCATGTAAACATAAAAATTCTATTTAACAAGAGAAGAGTTTCATTTCATAACTTCAGTGTTTGGAGAAGTTTATTTTCAGCAGGTTATTTTCAATATGAATACATTGCATAATGTTAAATCTAAACTCCTTGGTAAATCATTTGATTTTGGCCTTTTTCAGAAATTCTGTATTGATTTGAGAAAATTAGAATACATTGATTTCTCCTATTGCCATCAGCTATCAAATAATTCATTAAAGTACTTGACTTTTAATTGCCATAGACTTACATCTCTCAGTATGGCTGGTTGTTCCAAGGTATGTATGAAATGATAGATTGTATTAGAAATTCTGTTATAAATGTATTGCATTCCTTTGCCTTTAAAATAATTGGTAGTGTTTCCTTTACACGCTAAAGACTTGGAGGTACTGCAACACTGAACTAAACTATTCTGGGCTAAATTGTTTTAGGATTCCATTCAGCCTACCAATCTGAAATGATGGAAGCATTCTTATTGTTAACAATTTTGGAAGATTCAGCCTCAGTTTTTGTTGTTATGTGCCATCAAGTCATATCTGACTTATGACAACCCTGTGAATGCAAGTTCTCCAAAATATCCTATCCATGTCCACCCTGCTCAATTCATGTAAATTAATGGCTGTGGCTTCCTTTATGGAGTCATGCCATCTTATAGATGGTCTTCCTTTTGTTACCTTTGACTTTCCCTAGCTTAATTGTCTCCTCCAGGAAATTTTGCCTTCTCATGATGTCCCCAAAGTATGTCAGCCTCAGTTTTGTTGCTAGGACAGTTTCGGGTTGGTTAGGTGTAAGACCCACTTGCTTTTTCTGTCGGATATGTTCTGTTATGTTCCATTTGGCTTTGGACTAAAAGCAGATAAGTCATTTGGCACAACATGTTTTAGAATCACATCATGCTTAAGTGCTTCCAGCGTTTAAATAAAAAAAAATTCCCTAAAAGATATGCTTTCACGTTTTGAATCCCAAATTGGCTAAAACCTCCTTCCTCTTGACAGTTCCTTTGTTTTGCAGTGTATATTGATTTTGCTTTTTTACAGATAACTGACACAGGTATCCAGTTTGTGGCTGCTGGTTGCACTTATCTTCATTATTTGGACATCTCAGGTTGCATAAATATCACTGACAAAGGACTAAAATGTCTGATTAAAGGTTGTCTTCAACTCAGAATTCTCAAGATGCTATACTGCACAAATATTACCAGGTAAGGATCTATAAGGCCACTATTTAGATCACTTAAGAGAGCAATCTTTGGGTCCCTGGGCAACCTTCCAAGGGGCCATAGGCTGAATTGGAAAATCTGATCTGAACAGGTATAGTCTTCATTCTTGGAAGGCAGTGTCAGAGTTCTTATCCCTGACCTCTTACAGCTGGTGGAGGAAACTACACCAGATGCCTCTCTGAGATTGGAAAATTGGCTTTGAAAGGGGGGTAAAAGAGCATTTCAACAGCTGGGAAGGGGAGAAAACCAAAGAGGCAAGGATATAATAAAGCCTGAGTCTACCCCAGACTCTTTTCCTCCCCCTTTAATGTATCCTTGTTAGGCAGGCTAAAAAGTCTTTCTATAAATGAATGAATGAATGAAATTGGAAGATGTGGAAGCAAAGATCACCCATGCTAGCTTCATCCCAGGAGAACACAGGCATCCAAGTACAGAGGCTTCCAAGCAGCAAGAGTGCAGTCCATAGGACTGTATCCTAGAAATGTATTCATCACATTCCAGAAGAATAAATAACATTCCCAATAACAAAATGTTATCACTAATGAGCTTGTAACTGAAGCAGAAAACAAAAAAAACAAGGTATGCTATGTCCGATTAACTTGTAGGAAAAAATATATGGTGGTGGGGCTGGGGGCAAGCTTTTTGCCTAAATACACCAAAGATTCAAGGCTCTATTGAGGTTGAATAAGCTTTTCAGAGCTCCATGTCCTTCATTAGCAGAGAATATGCTGTAGGTATAGAGTTAACATGAAAGTCACATTTTGATATGTTAAATGAGTAAGTGTTCAACATTTATTTGCATTTTAAAAAGCTGTATAGAATTTCAATGCTTGAGTAATGCAGCTGACAAAAAGAGACCTTTTGAACAATAGTTACAATAAAGCCCATCCATTAGCAAATCAAGAGTGTCTAGAAATGTTAATCAGAGCAATATATAGTAACTATATGGCAAATATATGATATCATGATCATCTTACACATTGTATCAGTGAGCATCACTGATTGACCTGCTCTGGAAAGTACTGCTTTTCCTCAGTTCTGGTGTTGCACTAGGAAGCAACTCCTTCCTGTAGCACTAGCATTAGATTCCACTGGCACAACAGAAGCACTGCAAGTGCAATGGCTGTATAGGATATTGCCCAGAGGTACATTCTAGCAGGAACAATATTTATCCCTATTTTTTTAAAAAAATGATTGCATCAATGTGCAACTGGAGAGTGAATTCCCAGGAAACTTTACCTAACTGAAACAAGACAGTGATTCCAAACAGTCTATAGTTAAGTCATGCATTTTTTTAAATGGGAGATGTATAACAGAAGGAATTGGAGGGCTGTGCCTTCTGGGATAGAAAAGATAGAAAAATTCCTATTCATATCAATTTTAGAAACTGTTAAGCCGACTGAGAGGCTTATTCAGATTCAGGACTACAACGAAGTGAAAACTGATAAGGTCCCCTCTCCTGCTGGGTCATGTTCCAGAATACCTATTTACTTTTTAAGAGCCATTGACACAGTACCTAATTAGATGAACTGGATGTTTTCTAGTTTGGCCCTGGTAGTGCTAACAGGAGGTACTCTTGTAATGCAAGTAGCCCCTTTGTGAAAAATTGTTGCTGAAACCATAGCACACAGAAAGTCCTCCTCCCCATTTTCCACAGTCCTGAGGATGCTTAGGATTCCCTGGAGCTGCTAGCTGTATAACAAAATGTGTATTTTAGTTGCATTCCCACAGCTAACACTGTTAGCTTGACTTTCAAAGCTATAATACTTCTTATATCATTTCTATGATAAGCCCCATGAACAGTAACATGTCTTCGTGCATATTCCATGCCATAGCTGCAATGGCAGTGGGTGAGGAGTTTAGGTGACAAACAGCAATCAGCTCTCATATATCATTGATGTATGATGTAAACATTGATGTTTACATTTTGTGCAAGAGATGGTTTTCAAAGGATTTAGTAGTATCTTGCACATTTTTATTTCAGACAAGCAGTTTTAAAAAGTGTATCAAAACTTCAGAAATATGAATACAGTGATGATGACCCCCCTCTGTGGTTTCGTGATACCAGTGGTGACTCATTCATTCCAAAGAAGCACAAAAAACCACGACACAGTGTAGCAGCAGTTCAGCAGATAGTAGCACCTCCAACAGAAAAAGTCTTGGAGATCCATAAACCCAACACAGAAGACCTTCCAGCAGAAACAAGTTTGGAAGTCAGTAGGCCTTCCACAGATGAACATCCAGGTGAAAAACAGAAGCCAAATGATATTTAAGTACAAAAATTAAAAGAACAACTTCTTTATTTTTATTGGACCATCTAGTACTGTTTCCTTTTGAGGGAGAATATTTGTAATTGGATATTGTTTGCCAGAATGATTCATACTTACTATCTTAAGTACAGTGTAGTAAACATTATGCTTTGTTCTGAAAACAAATATATTTTTGTGTATCAGTAACTAATATTATTTGACTATGCTGCAGTACTGTGTATATTTGCTTTCTCCAATACAAGCTTAAAAACATGAAGTTGATGGCTTTATCATTATGAAAATGCTATCATGGCATTCTATCCCTTGGTAAGCTGAGAATTTTTCAAATTTCATTATATTCAAATGTCATTATATTTATCCTTTAAGAAGACAAAATATGTTTCTGGATATAATGTCAAACTTATATGTACACTGCCCATAGATAAATTGTATCCTTTTCTTTAAATAACTGTTTGCATGCCAGTCAGTCTCACTCCACAGGTTATCTACAATAAAAAAATGAAACACACTTTCGGGGGGGGGGGATATAAATAATTTTTATTTACAATATGGGCCACAAGAGGACATATGTACTGTTCCAAAACAAGTCTCCCATTCAGTGCCTAGCGCCAACCTGCTTAGTTGCCACATGGTCATTACCTTCACATTATACCCAGCAACTTAGAAAGAATAGCTCTTCTCCTGAAACAAGAACCTACCTTCCACTATTTTGAAATGGACAATGGAGGACTGATAGTAGCATGGCTAAGTGCTTTCCCTTTATCAGCCTCTGAGTATTTAAAACACTTTATGGGCAACTCAAACTCAGTGGGCACACATGGCTGGATCAAGGCCGTGATGAACCTCCAGGCTAGCCATCTATACTAAGCCCCCTTCTCTGCCTTTAATTCTGACCTTGCACATGGTATTTATATGCTTGCACACAATCAATAATGTACAACAATGCATAAACATTTTTATTACTAGGTATTTTTGTTAGGAACATTTTTCTTGCTTTCATGGAAGCAGAAGAGTAACATCTCTTCCACTGAGAGCTCAAATACAAATACAAGCGTTCCATCCTAGAGTACCCAGAAAGCAAACATTGAACCCCACCCCTCCCCACACACACACACACTGAAGGAAACCAAACTGCCTTATTCAGATGCAAAACCAAAAGACAAGTAAATGGCTCTTATTTTTCACTGATTGACACTGGGCCCGCCAGTTCTTCTCAGTCTAACTTATTTCACAGGATAAATGCAATAAAAAACCTCCCTTGTATGTAAAATGGCCTACTATGCATGGCCTACCCATATGCCTCCATCTTCTGTAAACAAACTCAAAGACACATTACTGATACCAAAACACCAAAGAATCTGATGCCACCTTAGGGATTAATACATTTATTGTGGCATAAGTTTTTGAGGACAACAGCACATTTCACTGGTGTGTGGAGTTTTATGGGGAGCTTCAGGTTCATATGCAGTGTATATGAGTCACAGAGGAGCAAAAAAGGGTCCAAGTCCCTGTGACATATGGGGTTATTCTATACTTACTCATAACAGATGTCGATCCCAACTATGACTTTACTCGTTGGCTAAACACACTGAAGAAATCTAGATTACTTGGAAATCATTTGTCCATTTATTAGAAAAGAACTGTAATGGGCCAAATGTTTTGTCACAGTGTACAAGACATTTCATAAGTTCTACAAGGGCTAGAGACTTGCTTTCTCTGTGTGTGTGTGTGTGTCTATCTCTCTTGAAAGCTAGGGGCTAACTAGTGCCGCCCCCCCCCTCAGATCATGGGAAGTTGGCTGAATTGTCCTCCTTGCTTTGGTTAATTCAGCTATGTGGATACAGGAGAAGTAATTGTCTTGGCAATGATATCATGGGTGCTAGCTTGTTAGTCCTAGTTGAATTTGCCAGTAATGGAAGTGAGAAATCAATTGGTCAGTGATGGAAATGCTACAGGAATACCAGCATGTAAGGTACAAACAAACAGAATATAAGCATTCTTCCACATCCATGACACTAGCTTCATTTCTAGAGGATCAGCTATGTCTCAAAGATTAATGCATTTACTGTGGCATAAGCTTCATTACAGTCCATTTCAAACTTCTAACAGTTACAAAAGAAATAGGTTACACGTTTTAACTTCTTTTAAAAAGTTCTCTCCACTGCTTAGAGTGAGCACCTTTGTTCACTCCTGTCAGAATCTCGGAATCTCAATTTGAGAAGAGGAAATAAAACTCGGGTTCGTGGGAAAGACCCAAGTGTCCAGACCATCTGAGGTTTTATTGTATTTACCCCAAGGTTCCCGCGGTACTCATGATAATGCATGCATTACCAGGCAGGCAGAGATGAACTCTGCTGCCAAGCTTCAATACCATTACAGGACATTTATAGGTACACAGGTACAGGGCAATTGATGACAGAATGCAGAGATTACAATAAGATTCTGAGGTCATCACATACAGAACAGATAAAGAAATGTCAGTCAATCACACTGTAACAATGAGATTACAATATTTCTAATTGTCTGTATTGACACTTTAGTTGAGTAACTTGAACCCATCGCCAGGTCTGCTCAGTCATGCAAATTCAAGCTACTAGAAACTATTCATGATAAGCTCAGACCCTTATCTCGACTCTAAACATTCTGCATTGATCAGGGCACATGAAGCCCTCTGGGCTATCAAAAGATTATTGTAAACTGAATTCCAAGAATGACTATTTACAATGTATATTTGGGCTAAAATGGCCTGTCTGCTGTAGCCTACAGCTAAAGGTGAGAGAAAGGAGCGGGGGAGGAAGGCCATTTTCAACAGTGACAGCTTGGTTTTGAGAAGGAAGACAGGATTTGATCCCACAATGCAAAGGCACACAGGATTAATGCTTTTCAGACAGGATTTATCCACATTTTCCCAACACTTCCCACTTCTATGTCAGCCCCTTTTTCAGTCTAGCAGACAACAAACCACACAATCCTATGCATGTCTACTCTGAAGTTAGTTCACTATTTTTCAGTTGGGTTTGCTCTTGGGTTAATTTCTAAGTCCCATATGGGAGCAAAGCATAGCACTTAGCCACCTGTGTTTATATGCTGCGTCTTTTTGTTTTTCACAGTGCCTTTCATGTTTTTCACAGTGGCTGTGTTCACTCAACACAATAAGCAACTCTGCATGGTTGCTATGATTCAGTTTTTTGCCATGATATACCCAATAGACAATCCTTCTGCTGTTGGCACATATCCCATCAGCCACTGTGCCTGAAACTCAATCCCAGGGCACATCATTCCCTGCCTATGTTGCCTGCCTCTTCCTCATTGGTCTGCACAGAGGGACTGAATGGCTGAAGCAACTCCTGCAGTTGCCACTCTTTTCAGAGGGCTCTGTGATACTTGCATACCAGAACTGTAGAAAACATGATCCTGGGTTCAGACAACATAGTGGTACAAAGAAACCATAGAACAAACTGTTGTTTCTTATAGTGGTTTCTAAAGACTGAACTACCAAAATGAAATACTGAGACTGGGTTCAGACAACTCAATAGACCAGGAATGGTTAAAAAAACAAAATCCAGCCATTATCTCCCTTTTAGGGTGGATTTTAACATGACATTACTTCAGTTCTCAAAGATGCCTTTGGTTGGATTCAGATTCAAGCCACAATCCTACATCTTCTGGTATAACCCATAGTATTATTTGGAGCTAGGATTCTCCCTGGCGGCTAGTACCAAAGGAAAAAACCCATGCTGTCTTCCTCTCCAAGGTGTAACAATTGGGACTCAGAGAGGTGGAAAAGAAGCATGCCAGGAGTAGGGAGGGAAAGAAGCTGGGGCTGATAGCTTACTCCACTTCCTGTCAAAGTCCCAACCTCCTACTCTCCTGCACACTTAATCTAAAAGGCAGAAAACAGCTGTCTGGATAAACTACACCACATGAGTGTTAGGCACGACTCTCCAGGCTATAGATTAGCATGACAGGACTAGCTATCAGAATGTCTATCAGCTGTCTCGGGGCATTCATGATAGGCATGACTCTCCAGGCTATAGATTAGCATGACAGCACTAGCATATCAGGATGTCTATCAGCTGTCTCAGGGCATTCCCTCAGAAAATAGAAAAAAGCTTGCCAAAGGCGTAATGGGCAAAGCTTTTCTAAAAGGTGTAAATTAAAAAGATAAGACTGCTAACCGATCTGCTTCTGTATCTCACTTGCTTAACTGCTGCCTACGTGACTTTGTAACTTCCCATTGTTCCCATATTTGTCTGCAAGCTGATTGTAAAAGTATAAAAATCCCGTTGCCATTCTGCCAGGCACCGCATTCTTACTAGAATGTTGGTCCCTGCAGGTAATAAACTCTTAAAAATACCAACTGGTCTCTGGTCTCATCTGCAAAACCGCAGGATACAACATTTGGAGGCCCCAGCGAGATCTTGAGACCAGCGGTCTGGCCTCCCTCGACTCCGGGGACAGGCCCTGTAGGTGTTTCTTAGCCTTTTACCCCGGCTCGGTGGGATGTCTGACTAGCCGAAAGAGGAGTAATCGGTAAGTGCGCACGGCGGTTATCCGCCTACTCTGTTCTTTTCTGAATATCTGCAGAGCTGGTATTGGAAAGAAAGGCCTGCTGGACGCAGCGTATGGGCCACTTTCCAGTCTGGGGGCGAGACGTCGTTCCCCAGCCTCAGTTCCTGTTTAGGATGTGTGTTTGTTTAGATTGTCTGTTTTGTCGTCTGTTTTGTTGGGCTGACACTTGGAATTCTCGGTATGGTTTATGTCCCGTTCTATTGTTGCTGTCTGTGTCTTCTGCCTTGTCTGTTTGTATTGTAAAGTGTTCCCCTTTCTGGGAGGTAGGCATAGGCCAGAGTGGGTTTTGGGGGTTCCTCAGGAAATAGAAACTCTCCACGCAGCCGCACCAATCTGTCCCCTTCAGGGCAGGGTTGAAAGCAAGGGCGTGGATGGGTGTTCTTGCCCCTGAGATGAGAATGTGTGAACCTGGCTTTGTTTGAGATACAGAT